CATATGACACAGTTTTAGTGTCTTTAGTGTCTCTTACATTCAAAATTTTATTAAACTACATTTTGTGTTATACCAATTAGTATAGCATAAAATCTTAGCTAATAATCCATATTTTAATAGTATACAAGTTTTAAGTTCTTAATTCTAATATGGCAATATTTAGAAAAAATCCTGAATTTCCCCTAATGTGACACACGAGACACATTTTCTATAGGTATATTCCCTTCTCTATTTTATCCACCACCCCTCCAAACAGTATGAAATTACACTCCCTATAAAAATATCATTGCTCAGACAACCCATAATTTTTATAGCTTTCAATTTTGTTTGGTTACAGAGCAATCAAATACAAAATCAGACCCCTCCTGTCACATCCTTTCTTTCAGGATTTGTTAATAGTTCTCTAACATTTAATTATATATTACCTTTAACCAATAGAAGGTCAATGTTTTCATTTATCAAATGACTTATTTTATAACATTGTGTTCTAAACATAATATTGTCAATTTCACACAGAGTACAAGATTTGTTCCCATAGGAAAGTTAACGACTAGCTTGGATGAATTTGTAACAGCTCTTGTTGCATAGTTAGAAAGCTAGAAAAATTTTGAGTTAGGGGAAATTGTTTACTTTTTGCATGTTATTAGTCTATGTTCTTTGGTGTATTATTTAGTGCATTACTACCATTAGTATAAAAAAGTAGGGTTAACTATCATCAGCAACTGACAGCAAGAAAAAAGTTTGGGTAAGTACTTTATTTCTTGTTTTTCAGGTGTGTTCTTTATTTATTATTATAAAAGTAATTAAAATGTAAAACTAGGCTAGTTAATATTAAATTAGGTAAAATATATAATAATATAATAAAAATGTTTCACAAGGCATGCATGCAAGCAGCTCGTAGTCATTTGTGACGAATATAATTCGATAGTGTAACATAAGCAGCACGTTCCCCAAGTGATTTACAACTTATAATGGTGAAATTAGTAGTTAGACATGGTTCAAAGGGCAATAAAACAATA